AATGGCCTCCCTGACTTCCAACTTCAAAAAAATCCTCTCCCTGCTTCAGCAGAAGGACAAAGATGAAGGGAGAGCTACCTGTAAAGGAGCAAAAGTGGGTTTTGGCCTTCATTGCTTGGGTCCATCTGCCACCTCCCAAGGAGTTTGTAGTTCGTTTCCTTTTCCCTCCCCTTACAGGCAATACCATCGGGTCAGAGACGCAATCTGGATCCTCTCCTCTTAAGAGCGGGCCAGAAGGTGTTGCAGTCCGGGCTCCACCGATAAGAGGCGAATCATGTGGAAGAGATGCGGGAGAGAAGCCTGAATCCTTCTGTCCTTGCATTGTATCAGATGCCCCCACAAGATATCATGCCCCCCCTCTTTTTTAAATTTTGGGGAAAGGCTGTGGTGTTTTATTCTTACTCTCAAGGTCTGAATTCTCTAAAGCAAATATAATGATAGTAATATTAAATACTCCAACCACCACCCACAGCAAAAAAGAGGCATAGTCAAAACACTGGTTTTGTTTGTTTTAGTCGTTCAGTCGTGCCCAACTCTTCGTGACCCCATGGACCAGAGCACGCCAGGCCCTCCTATCTTCCACTGCCTCCCGGAGTTGTGTCAAATTCATGTTGGTTGCTTCGCAGACACTGTCCAGCCATCTCATCCTCGGTCGTCCCCTTCTCCTCTTGCCGTCACACTTTCCCAGCATCAGGGTCTTTTCCAAGGAGTCTTTTCTTCTCATGAGATGGCCAAGGTACTGGAGCCTCAGCTTCAGGATCTGTCCTTCCAGTGAGCACTCAGGGTTGATTTCCTTTAGAATGGATTGGTTTGTCCTCCTTGCAGTCCAGGGGACTCTCAAGAGCCTCCTCCAGCACCACAATTCAAAAGCATCAATTCTTCGGCGGTCAGCTTTCTTTATGGTCCAGCTCTCACTTCCGTACATCACTACAGGAAAAACCATAGCTTTGACTATTCTGACTTTTGTTGGCAAGGTGATGTCTCTGCTTTTTAAGATGCTGTCGAGGTTTGTCATTGCTTTCCTCCCAAGAAGAAGGTGTCTTTTAATTTCGGGGCTGCTGTCACCATCTGCAGTGATCATGGAGCCCAAGAAAGTAAAATCTGTCACTACCTCCATATCTTCCCCTTCTATTTGCCAGGAGGTGATGGGACCAGTGGCCATGATCTTAGTTTTTTTGATGCTGAGCTTCAGACCATTTTTTGTGGTCTTCTCTTTCACCCTCATTACAAGGTTCCTTAATTCCAAACTTGCTGGCATATTTAAAAAATATTTTAAAAAAACACTGGTAGGCCATGCAAATTGAAACTGTGAAGCTCAATTTCTCAGCACTGAACTCAACCATCTGAATTGGGCCCTACAGGCAAATAGCTACTCCAAAAATGAAATCACAAGAGCCACCAAACAAAGAAAACAACACCAAACTGAAGAAGAAAAACAACCACCCACAAATAAAGTATTTCTCCCATACATCAAAGGGGTCACAGACTGTATGGGGAAACTTTTGAAAAAACACAACCTGCAAACAGTATTCACGCCCACCACAAAAATACAACAAATGTTACGGTCAGCAAAGGACATAAGGGACCCCCTCACCACTGCAGGAGTATACCAGATACCTTGCAGTTGTGACGAGGTATATTATTGAAACCACAAAACAAAGCATCCACACCAGAATCAAAGAACATGAGAGACACTGCAGACTAAAACAACCAGAAAAATCTGCAGTAGCTGAACATGCCCTGAAGCAAACGGGACATGAAATTCTATTTCAAAATACTGAAATACTGGACAACACCAGCAATCATTACATCAGACTGCACAGGGAAGCCATTGAAATCCACAAGCACCAGCACAGTTTCAACAAAAAAGAGGAAAGTATGAAGCTCAACAAAACTTCAACGAACTCTACCCAGCCACAAGGACAAGGGATCACTACACACAAAAGACCAGCGAATGACACCCATCAACCACAGGAACAGCTAATCTCTTCTCCTTAGCACAACAATACACCCACAATACACACTAATCAACCATCTACAGAAAAAGACAAAAGCCTATCTCAGAGCCATAAATACTGCACTCCCAGGCCAACTACACCAGAGCACAGGTTGCTGCCCTCTGAAGATGCCGGCCACAGAAACTGGCGAAACGTTAGGAAGAACAACCTTCAGAACATGGCCAAAGAGCCCGAAAAACTCAGAACAACCAATATTAAATACTCTCTCCTTCCCCAGACTTTTTCAGCTCCTGGTCTCCTTTAAGGAGGTGGCTGTATATTTCTCCAAAAGAGAGTGGGATCTCCTGAATCTGGAGAGAGAATATTTCCTCTCGGGGTAAGAGCCCATTGGTGGATGAGGAATAAAGCAATCAGTATGTTGCAATTTCCTCTTGCGTGGCTGGAGGGCTAGTCTGGAGGGGGGCCCTCTGTGTTCCCTTCTGTGCCATGCCCATTCAAATGCAATAGCAAACTAACATTTTTGCACTGTTCGGGTCCTGTTCTCTCAAATGGCATCATGGGAGGGTAAACTTTTCAGACATTTGACGGGGATCTGTGGAATTTAATCCTTCCCCCAAAAGTGCCTCTTTGCACCTAAAAGAGGTACTTCTCAGCAAGAAGGTTCCTAATATAGGGGTTTCCCAAAGGTTCTGAGATCTGAGTGTGTGTGAACCGTCCATATGGATGTCATGAAGGATGTGTCTGTAATGGAGATTCTTTGCTGCCTTCAGAGGTTCAGATGTTAATATAGGTGTGTCATTCCACCCACTCTCCAGGCCTGTCTTTATCCTGTCCCTTTACCCTGTTTCTTAGTCTCATAACCATGGTCTGGCTCATATACTCTGTGTACCTGTGTGCATTTGTCTGAAAGAGAGAGAAAGAGAGAAGCTTTTAGAGTTAGAAGGCTTGGGCCAGAAAACTGTGTGAGCTAAGTTTGGTTCTGAAATTAAAGAGGAGATTACCTGTGGTGTGCTCTAAAGGAAGAGTGATGAAAAAAATAGGCAGGATTGGAACCCTCGGGAAATTTGCCATGACAAGTAACCTTCCTGTCTGTTTCTTTAGAAGATCTCCCTAAACCAGATCCCATCTCCTTGCTGGATGAAGGAAAGGCTCTTATTTGTCCAAGGCTCTGAGGGAGAAGAAAAAATGGGCAGGGATCAGATGATATGGTGGGAACATGCCTTGTCTGGGAGCTGAGGATCCTCCTCGGGGCTTTTGTTGAACATCGATGTCAGGCCATCAATTCTTTAGGTGGGCTTCACCCTCCAAATTTAGTTTCCTCATTCGTTCAGCCTCCTACCCCTTCCTTCCTTGAATTCCTTGCTTAGATGAGACATTATGTGAGACGTGGTGGTCGAAAATATTCACCGTCTACTCTAATCATTAATCCGTTTTAATGCCCAAAAGCCTTTGAATGCTCACACAGCAGGTCTAGGCCATTGATGAGGTGCTAATTCAGATCCGGGTTACATATCTAATCGGATCCTGGACTTGTGACCAAGATGGCACCTCATCAATTAGCTCCTGCAATGTATACAGACGTTACCTGAACATCAGTTGCATTCCCTCGATGCCCTCACCTTTCTCCCAACCAAAGGGACCCAAGCTTTGTCAAGGATTTCACTCTTATAATTAGGGAGACCATAATATAGATCCAGGGTCCTCAAATTACAGCCCGCAGGCCACATCTGGCCCACCTTGCCTTTTTATCTGGCCTGGTTCGATCTGCTGGGGATCTGCCAGAAAGGATGGTAGAGACTCTAAGGCGTTCCCCCCAACACCTGCATCCCCGCCCTCCCTAAGCTTCTTATTCGGTGGCGATGGGACGCAGGAAAGATCAAGACTCCCAAGAGGGATGGCAGAGCTTTTAGCTTTGGCTGAGGGGAGACCGAGGGGATTTCCCGGGGAGTCAATGCCAGGGAACATTAACGGGGCTTTAAATCAGAGTACAAACATCTAGGGGTGCAGTAAATGTGCTGGCAACGAAACAAAAGAGATAAAGACATCTTTTTTTGAAATGAGGGAATATGTCTTTGAATTATGTGGAGGGGGAAAAATGATTCAGGAGGATCCCAGGGACTCAGAAAAGTCCAGGCAATTGCAAATCTTGTTCATTATGTACAAATTCTTTTATTTACATCATTTCTAGGTTCCATACTTAGATATAGTAATTCCAAAAAAACATGAAAGTGTCAGAGTATAAAACATACAGGCCTGAGCAGAACAAATGTCCTAATGAGCAGCCATGATGTTCAGGTGTGTCAAAATGCTGAGTCAGTGTGACTCAGGAGGGCTGGCTCAAAGATGATGTCACGTCTATGCTGACGGGACACAGCCAGATGTATAAGTGTATATATGTGGACTGTGCACATGTATTCCTTCTATTCTGATGAATTCATGGTGTCATGCTGTTGCTCTGTATATCTTTAAATATCCTGTAAATACACATCTGGTGGTGGAAGAAGCTGACTGTGTCTGTGTGAGTAAATTTGCCACAAGGACCTTAAAGTTATTCTGCTAAACATTTCCGCATGTTCAGACACGAACAGAAAGACTGTCCAACGGGTGTGAAAAAAATCAGTAGGTACCAATCTTCAAATCCAAAATTCATAGTTATGCAAAAGGTATAGGCTTACTTAAAATACATCCTTGCACCTTGTAAAAAGATGTAGGTATTGAAACTTAGGCTACAGGACAATTTTAATACATATTTCAATCAAAAATACAAACACATTTATTGTATTATTTACTTATTTAACTTACTTACTGCCCATCTGGCAGGCAAGGCCACTCTGGGCAGTTTACAACAATTATAGACAGAAATAATAAAATGACAAAATAAGTCGATAAAACATTATGTCGTCAAGTAGTTCTATTCAGGTTTCCTGCTGTTCCCCTCTGTTTTCTGTCCCATGCGACAGTCAGTTAAAACACTGGAGCTCATAATCTAGTATAGCAGAGGTTACATTTTCAAAGTTTTACACTTCAAAGTTCCAAAGAACACAATGATAAAAAGGAAAAACCCTTATCATTTTCAATGATACGCAAAAGTAATTTTTCTAAAAGCTTTCATTTTTAAACCACCTCAGAAGCATACTTAAAAAACATTTTTAGATCAAAAACTCTGGATCCCATAAAGTTAATTTTTAAAAATATTATTCACACAACTAAGGTTACCTCTATGGCTGAAGCTTAATCCACCTTTTGTGTATTTCCATGGTTTCTCCCCCATCTCATTTCTTGGAGGACAACAGAGGCTATTGTTTAATTAAAGCTTTCGACACTTGATGCATTCATATGGTTTCTTCACAGTGTTGGTTCCTTGATATGAACAAAGCTAACTGAAGCTCTTTTAAAATTCCACACATTCGTATGGTTTCTCCCCAGTGTGAATTCTTTGATGCGTTCGAAGGCTATTGTTGTGACTGAAGCTCTTTCCACATTCTATGCATTTATATGATTTTACCGCAGTGTGGGTTCTTTGATGTGACCTAAGTTCACCGTTCTGACTAAAGCCCTTCCCACATTCCATGCATTTATATGGTTTCTCCCCAGTGTGAGTTCTTTGATGTCTACTGAGTACTTGGTTATGACTGAAACTCTTTCCACATTCCATGCATTTATATGGTTTCTCCCCAGTGTGAGTTCTTTGATGTGACCTAAGGTTCCCACTCTTATTGAAGTTCCTTCCACATTCTATGCATTTATATGGTTTCTCCCCTGTGTGAGTTCTTTGATGCATACTGAGGCCATGGTTCTGACTGAAGCTCCTTCCACATTCTATGCATTTATATGGTTTCTCACCTGTGTGGGTTTTTTGATGTGACCTAAGGCTATTGTTGTGACTGAAGCTCTTTCCACATTCTATGCAGTTATATGGTTTCTCACCTGTGTGGATTATTTGATGTGACTTAAGGTGACCACTCTGACTAAAGCTCTTCCCACATTCTGTACATGGATACGGTTTCTCCCCAGTGTGGGTTCTTTGGTGTGACCTGAGGCTATTGTTGTGACTGAAACTCTTTCCACATTCCATGCATTTATATGATTTCTCCCCAGTGTGTGTTCTTTGATGGGATGTAAGGTGACCACTCTGACTGAAGGTCTTCCCACATTCCATACATGGATACGGTTTCTCCCCAGTGTGAGTTCTTTGATGTACATTAAGTTTATGGTTGTTACTGAAACTCTTTCCACATTCCATGCATTTATATGATTTCTCCCCAGTGTTTGTTCTTTGATGTGACTTAAGAGTATCACTCCGATTGAAGCTCTTTCCGCATTCCATACATGGATATGGTTTCTCCCCTGTGTGAGTTATATCAATTCTACTGAGTAGACATACATTCATGTGGTTACTCCACTGCATAAGTTCTTTCATTTGACATCCATTCCTGCCCACTTGGATTCTCAATTCTCTGTTTTCTTGCTTATCAGCTCCTGCCTAGGATGTTCATCATCTGGGAGAAAAAATAATAGAAATAAACCACTTCAGTAATCTGCAGAGATAACGAAAGATGCATTTGGGATCTTCCTAAGTCACAAAGGAGGAAGGAGAGGCAAGAAGGTGAGGGAAGAGAACCATGGAGGGCAGGAGGCCGGATTGAAGGTTATTCCTTTTGGCTTGAGGTGAGAAGGGCACTTCACTGAGGGAGCTTTTGGGGAGAGGAGTCATGAAGGGAGGATCATTTTATTTGCTAGAGGCAGATTTACAGCCCTCCCTTAATTATTAGGGTACAATTCTATTCTGGAAAGTGTCTGGAAGATTACTCCAAAAATAGACATTAATTTGATAGGAGAAAATTCAAAGCAGGAAAGTGGGAAGGTGAAGCTGGAAGGGCAACAAAAGGTTGATTACATACTAGATATTGACTGGCTTCAAAGGCTGAATATGATTAATAGAGGGATAAATTTAGTAAATTGGAGAGAAAATGGCTTAAAGAGATTTTATAGATGGCACTTTAAAACTAGTAAAGAGGATGCAAAAATTTATTTTAAGTTATAATTCTATAAGTAATTTGGGATTCCTGGTCTATACATGGAGCTGAGAAATAGAACAAAAATTGGAAAGTTACTTTCTGAACGATTTAAATGGTTTGATAAGTACATATAACTCTTAAATAACTCTTAAATTAGAATACTCATGTTGAGTATAATTGTTAGAAGTTCATGATGACAAGATAGATATATAAAGACACTAAATAATATATGAATCATAATATGACTATGTAGCTAAGGATTTATATATATAGGTATCCTTTTTCTCTTTAAAATATTGTTTTTTGTTGATTTTAAACACTATTATTTTGAAATTTAATTGGATATAATAAGGGATACAATTATACTAGGATATAGTGGTAGTAACTGTTGATTTTTACATATATGGATAATAGATACGCATATAAACATCTTAATTTAGAATGTTTTATGTTGAAGATAATAATAGAAATATTTGAATGTAAGATCAATATAGGTCTAAGTTAATATTTTAGATAATGCATGTATTTTAATCATTATAAAGTTAGGAAGCTATGTTTTCATCTTAGTAATGATTTAAATATGTTAGTAGGGTAACATGGCTTATGTAGTCAGAATTATGTATTAGATAGATATATGGAAATTACCATTTTCAGAAAAATTTACAGAAAAATAATAGAAAGAACCAACTTTCAACAGAGAGTGTCGGATACTTTGAAATCCAAATCACAAAGAAAACAAGTACACTATTCAAAGACAATTGTATGAAATTTAACTACCGTGGCATCTCTCTTCTTAGCGTTGTAGGGAAGCTACTTGCCCGTGTTGTCCTGAAGAGGCTCCAGGTGCTTGCAGACAGATTCTATCCAGAATCACAGTGTGGATTTTGAGCTAATAGATCCACCACTGACATGGTATTCTCCCTCTGACAGTTGCAGGAGAAATGCAGGGAACAACAACAGCCACTCTTAGTGGCCTTCATAGACCTTACAAAAGCATTTGACTTGGTTAGCAGGGATGGCCTTTTTAAAATACTTCTCAAGATTGGATGTCCACCTTGTCTCCTTAACATCATCAGGTCCTTCCATGATGGAATGAAAGGCACTGTAGTGTTTGACGGCTCAACATCAAATCCCTTTGACATCCGAAGCAGAGTGAAACAGAGCTGTGTCCTCGCACCAATGCTTTTAGGGATCTTTTTTGCCATCATGCTGAAGCATGCCTTTGGAACTGCAACCGAAGGTGTCTATCTCTGGACTTGATCAGATGGAAAGCTCTTTAATCTCTTTAGATTAAGAGCAAAGACCAAAGTCCAACTGAAATGCATGAGGGACTTCCTCTTTGCCGATGATGCAGCCATTGTTGCCCACTCTGCCGAAGACCTCCAACAACTCATGAATCGTTTTAGCTAGGCCTGCCAAGACTTTGGATTAACAATCAGCCTGAAGAAAAAACAAGTCATGGGCCAGGGCGTGTACTCACCTGCCTTTACCATCTCCACACAAGAATTGGAGGTTGTTCATGCTTTGTGTACCTTGGCTCAACGATCTCTGACACACACTCTCTAGATGTCGAGCTGGATAAACGCATTGGCAAAGCAGCTACCATGGTCTCTAGACTCAAAAAGTCAGTATGGCTCAATAAGAAGATGACGGCACATACCAAGATCCAGGTCTATAGAGCCTGTGTCCTGAGCACACTCCTGTACTGCAGTGAGTCCTGGACCCTTTGTGCACAGCAGGGGAGGAAGCTGAACACCTTTCATATGCGTTTCCTCCGATGGATTTTTGGTATCACCTGGCAGGACAAAGTTCTAAATAGAGTAGTCCTAGAACGAGCTGGAATTTTCAGCATGCATACATTACTGAAACAGTGACATCTACGTTGGCTTGGGCACATGAGAATGGCTGATGGTCGGATTTCAAAGGATCTCCTGTATGGAGAATTAGTGCAGGGAAATCGCCCCAGAGGGAGACCACAGCTGCGATACAAGGACATCTGCAAGCGGGATCTGAAGGTCTTAGGAATAGACCTCAGGTGACAGAGGTGCTGCATTACCAGACTACACCAGGGGGCGTAATGGTGAAATGAACAGTTTAGTCTATATATATTGTTTCTAGCATAGCAATTCAATTTTTCATTGTTCTTGCTAGTTATTATACATTTATCCTCATAGAAAGTGCTAACAAACCCATTCTTTGCTAATGAACTCACAGAAAGTAAATTATGCTTCAATTTTGGAACATGTAAAACATCTATTGTTTTAGCTATATAAGGTAATTTAACTTTACCTCTTCCCAGTACCTTAGCACTAATACCATTTGCTAAGCATACTTGTTGGTTGGATACAGGTTGGTAGTTAAATATTAGCTTTTTGCTCTTACACATGCTGGCAGTTGCTCCAGAGTCGACAATCCACTCTTCTCCCTGTTCAGAGTTATAAATTTCCTCAGTCAGGCTTAGTGTTTCTCTCTTGCGTCTGGTTTGTTTTTCTTTTACTTTCTTAAATTTACAGTCTTTCATCAGATGTTTTCTTGAGCCACAGGAAAAACAGCGTTTTCCAGAATGAATGCTCGCAACTGTATCCCCCTCCTCCTCACTTTCTTTCAGCTTATCACGGTGATTAGTGAGTTTGGAGTCTCGGAGCTGTTTGTTATCTTTTCTCTTTTGTTCTTCTTCCAACAGTTTGCCCGTTATATTAATTACTGTTAGCTCTGCTTGAGGAAGAATTTCTAAATTGGTCACCAGCTGATCATATGACTCATCTAATGAAGACAGGATAATAAATGCTTCTTGTATTTCTGTAAATGTGATGTTCTTTTCTCTTAAGTCCATCAGCATTGACTTCATTGCCTCTAAATGTTGAAGCATACACCCTCCAGCTTGCAGTCTAGTTCGAAAAAGTTTTCTGGCAATTTGTACCTGGCTTCCAACATTATCTCTTACGAAGAGTCTTCTTAAATCCTCCCATGCCTTCTTTGCTGAGTTTTGGCCTCTCAGGTGGATAAGAAGACGGTCTTCTAGAGTTAACCCAATAATAGCCAGAGCTTTTGCATTTAGTTTCTTTTTCCTCTCATTTAGGACTGCTGGGGGATTTTCTACAATGTCCCATAAGGCTTCCTTTTGTAATAGCAACTGAACCTTCTGCTGCCAAGTTGCATAATTCTCCCCATTCAACTTTTTTATGCACAGTCCAGCCATAGACATTTCGTTGGCCATCTTTACCACAGACTGT